AATTCAATCATAAGAAAGGATGCACGACCACCAACAGCATACGGATTACCGAAGATACACAAGGAAGGTGAGCCACTAAAGCTAATAATCAACAAAAAGTATGTAGCAGCACACGAATTAATAAAGGTTATATGTTTGAAACTCAAGAAATTAAATGAGGGGCTATCAAACACGGTGAAACATTCATATGAGTTTTCTCAATAAATCAAAAACATGTTACTAGAAGAAACGGACTTATTGGTAATTTTCGATGTGGAATCCATGTATATAAATATCCCTGGAGAGAATGCACTAACGGACCTGCTGGAGATCCTGGACCGAGAAGAGGATATCCTGGAATTACAACGGATCAGGATGTAGTCGTTAACAAGACTAATCAACTTGACAATAAGGACAACCTATTTTACATTCAACGCGAGCATCTATGAACAAATATTTGGACTTCCCATAGGATCACCGCCCTCACCACTTTTGGCAAACGTTTACATGAACAAAATAAAAGAGAGCTTCAAGACGGCACCGCTGCAACCGAAGGGTTCATGCGGTACATGGATGATTACTTCGCACTTTGGTCATATGGAAGAGAAAAACTAGATGAATTTCTGCAATTTGTAAACCCGATTGATGGAAAAATTAAATTCTCAATGAAAGTAGAGGAAGGTGAGCGGTTACCGTTCTAGGACGTTGAAGTGATTCGTTCTAATGGAATGCTGAAAAAGAAATTGTTCAGAAAGAAATCCTATGCTGGGATGTTACTCAATTTCCGGTCCCATCACAATTACGGGCTAAAGATTGGACTGATGAGGAGCATGATCATCAGGAGCCTACGCCTGACGGATGCAGAATTCTGGGACGAGGAGCTGGAGCAATTGACTAGGATCTTCCTCGGTAATAGCTACCCAAGCGAAGTTATACAAAGAAATATACGGGCCGTGAAAAGTTGATTGCAGAACGGGGACTATGAAAGATCAGTAAGGACGATGAAGGATTCAGAAAAGTGGATATGCCTGCCTTCCTGCGAACTAACTCAAAAACTGCGGCCAATACTGAGTAAATGGAATATTCAGGTGGCCATGAAAGAGAAATCAACACTTTTCACAAGTCTATTAACGCAGCATGAAAGGGTAGATAAATTGGATTGTTTAGGAGTTTACTTTATATCATGCGGCAGCTGCGATCAGAAATAAATTGGCGAAATGGGGAGAAAAAATAGCACACGATTCAAGGAATATCAGAGGGTCTGCAAGAAAATGGATACTGAAAGATCAAAAATAGGGGAACACATCGCACAAACTAGACACGAGATCAATTGGTTGGCAACAGAAAGAAAAGCTCCATACGGTGACAACACAAGTGAAGTTGAAGATTATGGAGGCTATTGACATCTTTGGGGAGACAAATCT